AACATGTTTCTGGTGGAGTATATTACAGTATTTATGTTCAGTCTCCTAGCAGTTTTGGATTCACAAGAAAGAGTGTAGATCGTAAGGTGGGCAGCTTTATCGTTGTGCAAATGTAAGGAGAGCTTTGCTGTGTTTAAGCTGAGCAATTCCCGGTTCAATGAAATCACCTGTGTCTTCCAGAAAGCAGTGTTTTATGTTCAGTTTGACTATATCTGATGCCATGTATTGTGAGGACCCTTCAGTCTTATCCAGCGGAGGTTGGACACAGCTTAAATGCAGTCTGATATACAGTAAGACTAACCCTTGTTTCAGAGCAACACTGTCCTTAGCTGTTCTGGACTTGAGACCTACTTTTGCTGACGATGCTATTTGAATGAGCAGATTTCTGGTGCAGATTAGCTAAGCATGGTGGGTGAGTTTCCAGGACACCCCAGTAACTGAAACTGATTTCTTTTCACTCCAGTATCTCTTTGAACAGAGCCAACATTTTCAGCTCTCTCCCAAACAATGCAAAGTTATTATTTTGTGATGTTCCAGTTCAAACAAAATAAAATTCTGGGTTAATTCCAGTAAATTTCCAGCCTGTTGTTCTTTTATTAGTATTTGTGACTTTGACGTATCACTTTACCTACAACATATACCTTTACAGCTTATTTGCTTGGTACAAAATGTAATGTAATGTCAGGAGAAGTCCTGGTTTATTTGATCAAATACAATATGCTGAAGGATCCTGTTGAATGCAACAGATCCAGAAGTTTGATGTCTGAGCTGTAAGCAATATTGCAGTGTGAGTGGGCAGACATTTAGGTATCACGGTATATTTCTTAGCAATGTGTATGCTGTGATTCTCTAAAAAAGTAGGAGTGTTGAATTGCATTAGCTGATTGTGCTGCCAGGCTTTTTCATTGACCATTAAACAGGAGAGGAAGAGCCATTTTCTCAAATTGCTGTGTAATTGAAAACAGTGGAATGAGACAAATATTTTAGTCTATAAGGGCATGAACAAATAATGTTAACCAATAAACAAAACATTGAAGACCAGTTTAATTTCCAAAACATATTACATTCATTTAGCTTCCGTTTCCTTTTTTGTTATGTAGATTTTTTTTTTCATTTTATAATTCTGGTTCCAACCCAGACTTCTTCCCAGGACATGCACCAGAGGAAATGGCGAGGCAGGTGACTGTGACGCTAATTTATGTGTAGGTTTGACTGGTTAGGCTCGGTGACCAGGCCTCCCAGCTTAAAAGACTATAGATCTTTCCAGAGAGCCTGGGCTGAGTACTGTGTTGACTTTAGTCTCCTTCACTTTTAAAAGCTTTGCAGCAAACACTGCCTTAAAAATAATGATTAAAAGAATTTAGACTGATGCAAGTATAAACTTGGATCCTGCAGACATGCCAAACTTCTATTGGTTATTAAAGCAGCACAGTTAAACCATGATGACAGACAGCTACTTTCCATTAATGTTTTATTTGTGTTTGTGTGATTTGCGATTCTGTGCATTATTTGTCTTCAGCATGAACTATTCCACCAAAGATACAAGAAGCATGGTGAGGAGCCTAGTCATACGATGCCCAGATGTCCATTGCTGAAGCATCGGTGCAACACTAAAGATACTGAGTTTATTTTAGAGGAGCCTTCCTAGCGTGACAGATAGTAATGGAAGGAATCACACAGATCATGGAAATGCAGCGGATATTCAGAAAGATGTCTCTATCTCCCGATTAAAAACCAAAGCGCAAAGAGTTGCAAAATGGAGTGTAGGTGTTAAGCATGCAGTATATTTCGGTCAGAAGTCGACACAATGTAAACGTGCATCCTCAGAGGAAGCGTGTGAGTAAGAAAAGGTAATAGCTGAGCAGTGGTGGACAATGAATGTGCCATTCAGGTAGCATCCCCAGTTAGATCGCCTATGTCTAGCACGGCAATCAGCATGCAGAGCTTGTGAGTGTGTGTGTGTGAGCGTGTCAGTGTGTGCTTGACTGGATTGATCCCGACCGCCAGACAGACTGAGGGTGTCAGGTGCATGATGGGTAGCAGGCTCGCGGGGGTAGGCAACGTGGCGGCGCGCCAGAATCAATTGGCAGTGAAATGAGATGGCAGGCCGCCAGGTTACCATGGAGCCCACTCCGGCTGTCCTTCACTGGAGGATTTGTAAATTAAAGCGAGAGAACCGCGCAGAGAGGGAGAGGGGCATGAAGAGAGGAGAGGAATGGGGAAGGTAGAGAGATGGAGGTAAAGATAGAAACACACAGAGGAAGGGAAATAGTCGTGGAAAAGCCAAGAGGCACAAAAAGAGAAGGTGAAGCCGGCCTTCGCCGAGCCTCCAGTTCAAGCTGGTGTTCAGTAGTGACCGTCGAGTACTTGAGAAAATCTGAATCTGAATCAGTCGTACGCAAAAAGATCCCCTTTTAAATTTAAACTTGAACTCCTATTTCAAAAAGGCGTAGAGATATGGATAAAAGGAGTGGGAGAGATGGGGGGGGGGAGGGAATTAAGACTCTAGCTAGCGGATCTAAAAACCTTTAAAAATGTAAAAAAAGGACATATCTTTGTCAAGCTTTATACCGAAAAATTTGCATATAACTGGCAAAAGGGCGAGGAGTCTGTACACAGTTACAGCCCTTCAAACCCTGCCTGTCAGCATTGATTTTCTTTTTCTTTTTTTCTCCTAAAGCCAAGCTGTTTTCTTGGCAAGCTTAGTGGCATTAGTCAGTTTAATTTCACTGTGAGCGCATGCATTTCTTCATTTCAGCACTATGGCTCCAGAACCTGCTTAGCTGTCATGCAAGATGTGTTAATATTGCATGTTTGGCCCCATTTCATGATTACCAGGCGACAATTACTAGAAATGAATAGAAATTACCAAGTGATTAATACAGTAATTAGGTGCCCCTCACTTCCCAACACCTCCTCCCTCTCTCCCTTTGTTGCTTATATTATGATTTTTAAAGGGAAAGCATACATCATTAAAATGTCCCAGACCGAATCCTCCAGGCACAGTTTCTGATGACGTACTGGACTTGTTGAAATAATCATTTTTCTTCCTTATTATTTCACTTCTTATCCTTTTATAGGTGATCTGCATGATTTTCTGGGCTTTTCGCCTGTATTTTATTAAAGCAAAAGTTGTCTCTGAAAAGATCAATCTTACCAAGGCTAAATTCTAGGAAACTAGGAGGAGGAATATTTGAAATGTAGGACAGCCCTAGAGAGTATAGTGTTTTTTGCAGCCAACATCAGATTCTGTACTGTGCAATGGCTTTAGGAGCTGCTTCAAGTGACGGCAAAGCAAAAAACACAGTAGGAAATGCATAATCATCACAACACTTTCAATAACCACTTATCTTATTCAGGGTCTTGGTTGCCCACAGCATACTGAAGCATTGGGAACAAGGTGGATTATAACCTGGACGACACACTAGTCCATCACGGAGCACACACGGACACGGACACAAACACGCGCCCATTCACCCCAGAATTAATTTTACAGAAGCCAGTTAACCTTACAGAAGGTCTTCGGACTGGTGGAGAAAGCTGGAGCACCAAGACAAAACCCACACAAACTTGAGGAGAACATGCAGACTCCACCCAGACAGCACCCCGGGAGTTGAACCCCAGGCCCAGCACTGTGCCGTCTGGCCAGCTTTACGCCTCTCTGCATGTTGCTGCTCCTGTTATTTTTCAGAAGATTAAGGATGACAAAAATAAAAGGAAAGGAGAAGAACAAAAACAGCAAAGGCTTATTTTCTCTTCCAGCAGATCCTGGTCCAGTGTGAAAGATCACCTCCCTCATTCTGTTCTAGCTGAGGAACTTTATTTACCTGCATTTTTAAAACACTGTGCATATAGGGGGGCCATCGTGTTGAAGGACACCGACGCTCAAGAGCTATGCCAGAGCATGAAGAGAGTAGATTCCATCACTCTCACCAGCGGGTCCTCCATTATGTGGCCCAGTGTATGTGTTCTCGGTTACTCTGGGCCATGATACTTAGTGCTACCATGTTATGTAATTATTTACGGTCCAAAATAATTTATTTTTGTAGAGTACCTTACACCGACCAGATTTCAAATAGGAATGGAAATACTTAAATTTAAGGTGAGCTAAAGAGTTTTAATACAGTTTAAGCAAAATTAAGTGAAATTAATTAAATGAAATGGTATGAAAAATCCTAAAGTTACACAGTAACCGAATTTCACATTATCTGTCCAGCAGTGTTACGTTATATGGATATTAGTAATTTGATGTTTTTTCATGATATTAACCCTTCACTTTAATGAGGGGAACACGGTCAGTTTCAGACAGGACTGGGTAGGATTTAAACCATCTGAATGGTCTGGTTCTGAGTTGACCTCATTGGTGACAAAGTGGCATCCTTCAAGTCAAGAATGAAAGTACAGAGCAGGCCGCCTGTGCCCAGGTGAAGCAGTGTAAAGGCAGACGCTTCCAGAAGAGTGGTGAAAATGGCAGGGACTGGGTTAAACTCGTTCCCTTGCGTTTTTCTGTTGTAGGAAGGGGCTCTAAAGGATTCCACAGGTGCGAGCCCAGACTGGCTCAGTGACTGTGAACAATCCCTTTAACCCTGTCAGAGACACAGGGGGACTGTGTCCACAGGCATCGTGCTCTAATCGGAGCCCATGCGGCTCGCCTGGCACCAGCCCCTCGGAGATGTGCTGTGGACGGGGCCTCCGAGATAATCCTATTAAAATTGGTAAATGCTGGAATGCCTCATCTCAGCTTTATCACTATGTAAAGTTTGAGTTGGCCATCTCTGGTTGTGTGTTTGGTGTAGCTACCCTTATGATGAATACAAGCTCTCTGTGTATAGAGTTGGTTTACTTAAACTATATTCATACATAAGCACAGTTAGGCCAGGTCAGCACTAAGATAGAAGACTCCTAAGGAAAACCAGGTTGCTGCTGAAAGTAGCATTGGTGGATCAGTAGGTGGGGGAGTAGGTGGATCAGGAAGTATTTAATCTCGGATGAGACTACTTATCCTTTAAAGATCCCCATTGCATTTTTTTGTAAGAGTAGGAGTTTTAACCCCAGTGTCCTGGCTGAATTCCACATTGGTTTTATACAGTACGGCCTCCCTGAAGATCCCTCTTAATTCAACTGGTGATGCAGTTTCTCACTGCTCCCCCGATCTGCTGTGCAGTAGAGCCTGCTGGTCATCACCCAGCAGTGCTCTGGGGGATGAATTGGGTCCCCTCCTTTATGTAATTTGGGGATACAACAGGGATGTTTAAATGGTTTGTATTATTAATATCTGATTTTAGCTGTTAGTGAAATTGTGTTCCTAAGTTAAGATCGTCCAACTCCAGAGTTTAATACCCTAAGGCATCTGGAGAAGACCAGTGTTTAATGGGCACTGGGGCTGCGGCAAGAAGACTTTCTGATGTGTGGGGCGGGCCCTGACCCCCGAGGCGTGTTTAACCTCAGGCTGCGCCATTCCAGGGTACCCCTGTGGTCATGACTCAGCCAGGGCACTGCCAGGGGTTGGGATGGGCAAAGCCGCCAGGCGTCTCCAGGGCTTAGCGCTCTTCCATTTGGCAAAACAGCTCAGCTGTTTCTGTCCCGGTGCGCCGTGGGAGCCGGGGCAGCTGGCCCGATGACTCAGTCACGGACACACACAGTGTTTTTCGATCGCTTCTGCAGGTCAGCGCAGGAGATGGACGGAATAGCAATTGGCTGTTCCGAACTACAGACTGAATGGGAAAATAACTCATTTAGTAAAAAAAACCCTCAATCGGCAGCTGGGCTGTGTTGCAGGGAGTGGCGAGACTGGCGCAGGGCCCTTTAGATGGATCGCAGTGTCAGATCGCTGTGTCTCGCTCCCTTTCCGACAGTGTGCTAATGAGTCACAGGGAACAGAGGGGTATTGTAGAGGGATATGGCAGTTTTACAAACAGCTTCTCCTTTCTGTTTCTGTCCTGTTCTCACACCTGATTATTGGGAATATTTATGGTTCTCCGTGTCTTTTTTCTTATGTTGCCAAGTTCCTTTGTGAGTAAATGTTCCTGAAAGCTACTTCCTGTAATGTTACTTGAAGCAAGGAGTCAGATAAGAGCACAGGGGAGAGTCAGAGAGTACTATAGGCTCTGGCCCATGTAATTCACAGCATACTACAACACCCCACCCACCTTATTTCCCTTGGCGGGTTGCAGTTTCCCCGGGTTTTACCAGACATTTACTTTTCTTTACTATGGTATAATTCATAGCATGCTTCCCTACACTCTTCTCGACTTAGCACAGTTGTTACCATGGTATATCACAGGGTGTTTTTGAAGTGATAACTACAGAAACAATTAGTTCAGCATCTCCGTTTGTTTGTCAGCATGGTGGTCTAAATGGTAAAAGCACAACAGACAGTAATACAGGACATGTACAGTATCCTCCTCTACAGCGAGCAAGAGCTAACAGCAGCGCGTTCTGGGGCTGAAGAGCTCTCCTCTTTAGAGATGCAACTGCACGTCGATGGCTGGCGTTCAGGCAGTAGGTGCTGTAGTCCAGCTGCACACAGGCTCTGTTAATGCCTCCATCTCAGAAAGCCACACGCAGATAGTCTGCCAAGACTCCCAGAGGCTGATTTCTTATTTTTGTGTCTTTGAAAAAAGGGACACAGCACTTTGTCAGCCCCTCTCCAGCGTGGCTCGGGCCCAGCTGATTTCAGCACTCAGGAAGTTTGAAAGCTGATCTGTATTGTACAGAGGGGAGTCTCTGGCAGTCAGGCTGTCTGAGGTGCGGATTAATGCTGGGGATTGGTGGAGGGGTGCCGCAGCCGCGCGTGAGCAGAATACAGGATGGAGGAGCCGAGGGGAGAGAGACAGCCACACAGACAAGCCTCCCTCCTGGCTCGCCGGCAACCTGCCTGTCTTGTCTTTTTTAACCAAACTGCTAACACATTCATTTACACTGCCAGTCTATATGCGTGTGCTCCAGACGACAGGTCTCCCCCATCCCCTTTCCCACCCCTTATCAGTAGAGTTCTCTTCCTGCTTGGTGCCTGTGAGCTTGCTGCAGTCTGCATGGGTACATGAGTAAAAAAGGTAAAGCTTTGTATTAGGGGTGGCGTACAGCTTTTAGAAACATTTTGTAAAAGAAATATATTAATAAAGTATTAATAGGCTGGCATAAATTTAGTAATTGTCAACCTTTACTGTAGATCAGCTGCATGATGGTAACAAGATCCTAATCCTGACTACAGCCTGTACCACTGAAAGGCATCTTTTTTATATTATTAAAAACATGATAATAGCTGGTAGTAAGTTAACAGAAACCTAAAGTTTTATAATAAGAAAGAGGGAAACTGACTAATAGTTGTACTCATGCACGGATAAACACAAAATAGATAACTTTGCACAAAATATCGGGCTTTTCTTCTAGGTAGGACAGGAAAGTTTTGTGTATGTGAGATTGAATTTGAATTTCTTTCTTTTGCATTGTACTGAAAAGTGCGGTTTATCTAGACTTTTCCATTATGACAATCAATTGTCGATCTGGTACCGTTGACTTTAGTGCTTGTGGGCGCGTGCTGACACACTTCACACTGCCCAGAAGGCTCTGCCCCTGGGTTTCCTTCACAGCACACAGCGCTCATGAAGTACATACTTGTCTTGGACTGTGTTGTAGTGCGGTGTTGTAGGGTGCCCTAGTAATTCTGTGTGGAGTGTGCTGTTCGAAGATTTGGAATATGCTGTATTAAGAAGCAGTAGACAAGGAAAAGCCTCCCACACAAATTCGTTCAGACTGTATTCTTTGTATTTGTTTTATTCACTTTACTCATTTTCCTCCATAGCTGTCCCATTATTCTCGTATTAATTGCTAGTGCAGCTGCATGTCTGTCCTCGTTCTCTCTGCACACTTTCACGCTGTCTCCTTGCTCTCTTGCAGGCTTTTACGGCTGCCAATGTATCGCTCTCCCTTTGCTTTACTCTCTTACCCACTTTGATGGAGTTTTCCGCGTAAACATGGAAAAAACAGAAGCCTGTCACACCATATCTTAAAGAAGGGTGTTATACCATCTGTATTAGCTCCTAGCTCATTTTTTTTTCTCCCAGCACATACATCTGGATTCTCTGTTGCTGTCTTTGTTTAGATTGTTAGTTGTCATGTCAGTTGATGGTTCCTGGAAAAGCTAGATCCTGAGGAGACTTTGCGAAGCTGATTGAGAGGATGTTTTCTTGGGAAGCAAACCAGTGTTGCACTGTGCTCCAAAGCCAGCTGGCAAAGCACACAGCACTGAAACCTGCGTAGCACTGAAACACCTCCCCGATGTATTTCCTGTTATTCACTCTGGAGTTTCTTCTTTTTATTTTGCAACACCTTATTATCGAAGTATTTAGTTATCAAAGCCAATACGAAAGCAAGCGTGTGACAATAGAGCATTAATGAAACAGACGAACACAATGAGATGTGAAGAAAAGCAGTGTCCTGACTGGTCAGTGATAGAAGTTGCCTATCTGAGTGCCAGTTCCAAGATCAGCGGTTTTTGAAACATGAAAAGTGAAGAAGATTCTGATGCTCAGGTGGTGCCCAGGGCACAGTGTTTGCAGATATTGAGGGCTGCGGGATATCGGAACTTGCAGCCGAAAGGATAGCCAGGGGGTGGGGATTGTCGTTGTGAAGCCAGGGTGAAAGTGTAAGTGGAAAGTGGCAGTTTCACTCACTCTATACAGCGATTTTGCTATGGAGAAAGATGGCCAGACTCCAAAAAGGACTTCTTCTTTTAGGAGCTGACTTTAACTACAGAGCGGTATTTATTTTTGGTGCAGGGAAGCCTTCCAAGAAGTAGGGAAAAAAAGGCTAGCGAGAGAGGACTGGAGTGCCGCTCTACCTGGACCGTCTTTGTGCGGATCGGGAAGAGGAGCGAGAGGGGCGAGGTGGAGGGGCGGACGGGACTCGTGCAGAACTCCATTTTCCCTCTCCGAATTTCTGCTGTCTCCTTTTCTCCTTCTTTTTCGTGTCGTTTTTACTGGAGAGCGATTGAGGGACAGAGTGAGAGAGAGAGAGTGAGAGAGACAAAATTAAGCCAATTTTTTTTTTTTAAGACTCGGATCTTGGCTTTCTTACAAACAGATGTTGCCTGTCATTTGGTTGTTAAGCAGGCACCCGGTTAGTAGAATACAGAGGTTTTAGAGACAAAGAGATAATTTCCTTTTTTTCTCCCAAAACGAAACAGAAAACAAAACCAAAAAAAAACAAAAAAAACAGGAACGGGGCTTTTTTTTGTTTTCGTTTTTTTTTGCTAGCTGTCCTTCTTTCTTTCCTTTTCTTTCATTCTTCCGTTGTTTCGCTCTGTTTGTCCGTTGACGTGTTTGTGTTTTGAGTTTCTCGCGGGCCACAGTGGACTTGACTCTGCCGTCCTATTGCCAAGCGCTGTAGGCGCAGTGCGTATAAAGAATCCCATTTGGAAACATTAAAGACGACCGGTAAGTCAATATTAACATGTTTAAAGACTGGGGAGGGTCTATTTGGCATAGCTCCTTTTAGTCTCACCTTGTATTTTATTTAATTATTGTGTCTGTTTTTGTTTTCATTGAAGTTTTGCATTTAGGCGCTGGATTGTTCCGCGAGTCAAAAGGCCTAAGGCCACCGTCCAGATTAGATTTTTATATTTATTATCGTTTTTGCCGACGCTGTCCTTTCCAGTCCTGCTTCTTAACTTGCGTGATGGGGTTTCTCATCCATATTTATTCCTATTTCAGTTTATTAGTGTTGAATTCAGTTGCCTGCTTCATGTGTCAAAGGGTCTCTGTCAGCCGACCACGCTTTATTTCTGCTGACGTTATCAGGAACGTGGTCCTGGCGCTTTTAAACCTTTTCCCTCCAGTCTGAGCTTTTGTTTAGTTGTGCTCAGAAGTACTGGGGTTCCTGTTGGCTGTGCTCCTGGAGTGCTGCAACTGCGTCCGGCACTTTGCTGAGTGTTTTCGGGGTATCTCCTCTTCTCTTGGCATGGCCCTCAAAACATAGCAAAAGGAGCCTGGTATCCCAGCCATGCCTGAAGAGTAATTCTGGTCATTTTGGGTGCAGGAGCAGAAGGAATCGTCTTCTCAGCCTTTGGATTCTCAGATAGACATTCTTGCCTCCTACAGTGTAGTCCCTCGGTTTTCAAGATTTTATTGTTTTTTTTTTCATTTCTGGTGTTATATTCACAATATTGTTTGTTTGTGCACTTATTTTTGGGGGGCATGGATGTTGAGGGGCTACATTAGTCCCGAAATCCGTCTTTCTGGAAAAACCTCGTGGTGCCAAGCTGAAGTCAAGTACTGTAGGAGTGTGGCCCTTGAGCGCTCTCTTGGCGTTATTCCAGTATGGGGCGTCACAGCAGATGGGATTGGAAACTGATCACCCACTTCATCAGTGTCCCACATCAGCAAGCCATCTCAATATTCCTGAATAAGTTTAATTTAATGTTCAATGTGCTCGACATCCTTAAAGAAGCGCTTTGCAAAATGTCATTGTTTTCTGTTCTTAAATTATATTTGAAAGTGCCTGAATTGCTGTCTGTGCTCAGACTGCAGTGTGGGGGCTACATGGCTAACTCTACCAGGACACCCCAGATTGTGACGGGAGAGGAGTTGAGCATTGCAAAGAAATCTAAGCCCTTCATTTGACGCAACACTGTCGTATATCCAGTTCTCAAGTCATTGGACTCCGTTCTGGGACGTTTTTGCAAGGGGTTTTGAAATCCTGAGTATCCAAGCGGGAGTGTACAGGGTGCTCACGTACAGGCCTGTCTCTGATGTGATTTAGTTGTGAGGGTTGTGAGCAACAACCTAGCGATCTCTTACTTCAGGGTAGCTGCTGCAAGCTGCCAGGGTAGTGCTTTCCTGCGTCACTTCATCCATATTAACGGAAGGCTCAGTTCCTAACATGGCGACAGATCTCCGCTGGCGCTCTTTCTCACTGTTTCTCTGGACTTCTGAAAGCAATTACCAGGACTCTGTGAAAGAAACGAGTGAGGATGAGTTATCGGCAGTGTTCCTCGTGGTCAGCTGCTGGTCAGGGCAGCGCAGGTGACAAGTAAAGGGATGTAAGAACTGTGTGGGTTCCCTAGACTTGATCACAAAGCTAGGATTGTGGTAATATTAAAAATAGATCAAATATGCCACTACTATAAATGTAATAAGCTACCCCTTTAAATAAAATACAGTGCTTAAAATTATATCTGCTACCTCTTTAAATTAAATACTTTGCCTCTTTAAATTTGTGTGATTTGTTCAAATAAATCTGGCTTCCAGATGAATCCATGACTAAACCACTAACCATTTGAACTGATATCAAAATTTATTTATTTTTACCTGCAGTTCTTCTAGAGATGTGGACTAGATGGCAGTTTCTGCTCTTAAGCTCCGTAATCCAACCTTTCCTGAAATAATGGTTAAAAGGAAACATTTGTTACTGTATTACCTTAAATTTTCAAAACCCAGAATCATTTCAAAGTATTTTTATTTGTTCCTAAAAGCGGGGAAAAAAAACACAAAATTGGCATTTGGTTTCTCTTGTTCTATTTAGTTTTTCTTAAATGTTTTCTTAATGCAAGATGGCACGCTATGCGACATAATTAACTTCCCAGTCTTCCTTTGGTTCAATTTTCTTATTTTCTTAACACAGCCTGATGTAGGGAAAAGGCCTGTTTTTAGAAATGAAAAGATAACTTCAGAATGGCTCAATGAGCAGCCCTCGGACAGATTCTACTGCAGGGGCAGAGCTTCGGGAAGCTGAACTGCTTTGCTTTGCTTTTCTGTAATGCCAAACGAACTGATTTCAGAAGTCATCTGTCTGTCAGTTAGCGTAAGTCACTAACACTAACTTGAATTAGGCCGTATATATATATACTGTAGGTGGAATGCACAAGTGATCATCTTTTTTATTGCCGGTAAAACCCACATAATGCCAAAATTCCCCAAAAAATACAGATGAGCTAGTAGTCAGAGCTGTGCTGAAATACATTCCTCATCCATGCAGATGAGCTGGGCCTGACTGTAATTTTTGGAAAATGAGTCTCTCACACAGGTAAAGCACAAAGGTCTTGAAAGTTAAACCATGCAAATCACAGCTGTTGCCCGCACCCAATTGGGATGTCTTTTTTTTTTTCTGGAAGAATTGTTAATTTTATTTGTACTTTTATTTGATTTCTTGAACATGCACAATCGCACTGTGCTCTTGAAGTCATGTGAATCTTTTATAGAGAGATCAGATATATGTTTTACTATTCTTGCATAATATATAAATTCTTGCAAGAAACTACTGTAGAAAAAGTTGTTTGAATGAAAAGCATCATATGTACTTAAATTCAGCGTGCTACGTTGAGGATATATTTTCCTTTACTATGAGACCCATATTTCCGCACAATATTTAATATAATATTCATATGTCAGTGTTTGGATTCCATTCTACTTTTATTTTAGCACATATATCATCTTAGCTTTTATTACTTTAAAGAATGAGGAAAACTTTAGCTGATTTCAGCTTTTTTGTCAGAAAAAAATGTCAAACGTTTGCTTTTTATCCATATAATGAGGATTGTGGCTGTGTGGTAAAGATTTCTTGCTTTAAATCTGCTGCAATCATGCTTGAATAATGTATTGCATAAGTAATGCTATATAAACACTTTTTTATCTCTGAAATAATATATACTGTAATGCTGTATATATCCTATATAAGTGTGTAAAATATGCACCATTTTCTATGATATAGATGACCACTCATCTACAAATATTGTTTTTGCATTTTACTGGTTATATAATGCTTAATAACTTTCTTGCATCCCATTAATTCATTAGCTGTTACAAAGCATTGGTAACATTGTAGTGCAGATCACTTTCCTTATGGTCATTATTACCTAACAAAGTATAGAAAAGAGGAAGAGAGCAGATCTTTCACCTCAGGTTAATGGAGAACAGTGCTTCATCTATGTTACTTAACTCACTTTGGTGTTGAATAAACAGGTGAGGAGCAGAAGGTCCATTAATGCTTTTTGTAAAACTTTTTAACGTTCTCGACTTTCACAAATTCAACGCTTAATAAAAATCAAGAGTGATTTATTTTGGATTAGAAGACTGTTGCAGTGATACAGTGCAGTTTTTACTGTATGCATCTTGATATTATACCACATTAGTTCAACAGGAAAACAGTTTAATTCAAAGTTTTAAAAGTAATATTTTAATTTGAAGTTGTGGGAAGTAACCTGAAAACACGTCGCTGTTGGAATGTTAATTTGTTATAAATAAGTTAATGATTCTATTTTTTCTCATAACATTATATCTAGTGAAGAAGGCATCTACATTTTATTCTTGTTTTGTTTCAGCTGCCTTGTCCATTTAGTGATTTAGCGATAAACTTTGCAGGTCTGAAAATATAACGATAGACAAACTGGCAGACAAGCCGAAAAAGACTTGTGTCCAGGTTCGGAAAAACAGTCGTTGTAGAAAATATCTGTGATGTCCAGAAAGAATTAGAATTAAAATACACAAATTTAGAAAGGGCTGTTTTTAACTTATCAAAGTGAAATGGCTCCGTTGTTCATTGTATTTTTTCTGGACGGAGGTTTGCAAGCTCCATACGTACTGCTGGAGGGTTTAAAACTTCTCCTAGACTGACGGACAGACACTGTAGCTCGACAGACAGATGAATGCAGAGATAAGATGATCGACAGCCGTCAGAAAGACACGCAGCCAGATGACAAAACCTTCTGATAGGGAAGTCAGCTGTGGGCTGGACAGACAGAGATCACGGTGTTGTACCAGGACATGCAGGCAGGCAGGCAGATAGGGTGGGCAGGTGTGAGGCCGGACAGACGGACAGACGGGCTGTGGAGTGCGATGTTGTCGAATTATGTAAACGCTCTGCAGCCCTGGCATCATCTCGTCTGCTGGCAGCGCAGCACTCAATTAGGAGCGGTGACACAGCTGTGCGCCATCGTTTTAATCCGAAAAGAAAAGGGGGGAAAAAAAAGGAAGGGAAAAAGGAAACGAGAGAGCGAGGAGGATCGTGCCTGCTGCTGTATAAGACATCTCGCCATCTTAAAAAAAGGGCACGGGGCATTTCATACTCTCGCTACTTCAAGCCTTGAGCCATTTTGAAAAGAAAAAAACAAAGTAAGAGCTCCTTTTTTCTACGTGGCACGGGGTGGACCACAAGCAGAATGCAGCGCTGCTCCCGTTGTGTTCATAGAGAGGAAACAGACCTCTGTGGCACACAACTGAAGAGATGGCATATTTACGAAAGGCTCTACTAAAACATAACCTTCTCAGACTTACTTTTTCTTCAGAGCTGTCTTTCATTTTCGGTCCTCGTTTCTCTCTCTCCCCCTTTCTCCCTCTGTTTCTTTCTTCCTTTTTCTGTTTTTTTTTTGTGTGTGTAAAGAACAGCTTATCATTCAGTCTGATTTTTTTTTTTGTTTTGTTCACGGGGGTTTTAAAACAAAAGGAAACGTCCAAATTTGGCACCGCGAAGGAAAGTCAGAACAGCAGCCAAGGATCATGCTGGGATCCAAAAAAAAAAACCGAAAGAACAAAATGCCAAAAAGAAAATTAAAAAAAACACCACCCTTTCCTTCGCCCGCTCACAAATTCCACATTATCTTCCGCCACGCCAGAAATCTCACCCGCTCACGTCTCACGGTGCTGAAACCCTGGCCTTTTTATTTCGATTTCTAGATTTTTGTATTTTTACTTTTTTGGTTTGTGTGTCCTTATCAGAAGTGGTCAGCACAAGACGGGCGTGGGAGAGGAGCATGCTCGGGGCTTGTTGTGTCGTTACTGGGCGATTCGTGCTTGTTGAAACAGCGGAGGCATTATTTGGCTATTGTTCGATTTTGTCCTGTGTAAATCCATGTCAGCACAGGAACGGGGACTTGTTGATTTTTTGGGGGGGGTTTTGGTGATTTGATTTCGAAGTGCACATTTTTCAAGTCCGCTAACTGTGAACTAACATTGATTCTCTTTTTTTTTTTTATTCCAGGCATTTTTTTTTCCCCGAACGGTTCGGCCTACGTCGTCCTCTCAGCCAGACACCATTTTGCTGCCACGCGTCTCCAGACTGGACTGATCGGCTCTGTCCTGATTGCCGAACCCGCACCGCTAAACCAGTACGTCTTTCTTCTTTTTTCTCAATCGCTTAGCCTGAACCGTCTTGCGAATTCGTCGTCTTGTACTCGTGTTTTCTTTCCGACAATTTTCTATGAAGTTATTTTAAAAGAAAAGCAAAATGCAGAGAATCTTGGGATTATTTTGTCTCATTTTAAATGTTAATCATCAGGAAAAAGAAATCAAGCTAAAAAGGATATCTGGCCGCAGAACTAGCAGATTGAGTTGTTTTCGTAGTATCACGAACTGTTTCTCCATACGCATGGATGTCATGGCCAAAAAAATCTGACCATAAAAGTTCAGTCTACAGTTGTACAGTACGTGTTATTTTTTGTGTTTGTGTTCAGAACCTCTTGAGTCTCTTGAAATCAATTTAAGTCAAATTCAGCAATCTGTCGGCTGAGGAACTCTTGGTAGAATTGAGAATTAGTTTGCTTTTCAGATTCCTTGAATACTTAGCAAAGGATACGCCAGTGCTTCATATTTCAGAACATTTAATGAATTATTTCAACAGCCAAATATCTCTTAAGAGTCTGTTTTCAATGTGGGACGAACAAAGCTGTGTTCACGGGTTTCCTGCATTGTCACTGCACAATGGCTTTTGGCTTGCCCATCACAAAACTCTTCGACTTGCCAGTCAAAAAAAAAAAGGTGTATCTTTGGGGGGAAAAAAAAATCCTGAGTGATCTCATTAGACTTAATGCTTGCTTGATTTACAACCGAGGATTATTGAAATGGGTTATATGAAATGCGTCCTGTACTGGAGACGTAGTGGGTCACACATGCACGTCGCCCATTCACATTATCTGTGTCTGGCTGGCCGGAAGGCTTGCATTCTGCTGGTGTAGAGCATTGTTGAGGAGCCATGGGAGTGAGTGGTGTCGTGGCACAGTGGGAACCCCTTCACTGGAGGCCTTGGCCAGTAATAGTTTTCTTTTAGATTGGTGCTCTGGTTTCCACACACATCTTGTCTTAAGGCTGGGTTTTGAAACCCTCGAGAAAAAGTGGGGTTAGTGCAAAGTGATTTGAAAACTATGGTTTCCCTAACAAGTGGTTTGTTTATCTTGTCACTTTTCACGATCTTGTTTGTACTATCTTGTCTTTGTTTATCTTATTCACTATGTACTGCACTATGTACTGAATTGTGAATATTTCTTTTGCTTTTTAAAACCATGAGAAAGAAAAGCTATAATTTACATTGTTGATGGTTTTCAGAGACTCTGAAGCCACTTGAGTACTGTATATCTGCGGTGTTTTAACTTCCATATAGCTCTCACCGCTCACGGTCAGAGGCAGCACTCTGGCCATGCTGATTGCGAAGACACAGCTAGAGACAGGAGCGTGAAAGAAATAATTTTTTAAAACCCTCAGCCTGTTTCTCCAGTCAGCCTTCCCTTTAAAAAAGCGCCAGACTGCGATCTGCCCAGGAAAAGACGTGTTGGTACGGCCCTTCATTGGTGAGCCAGCTCGCAGAGACTGATACAGATCGAGCCCTGCCTGACGGCCAGCGTACAGGGGCGCCGTGTATTAAACACCAGCTCGCTCGGAAGTGCTGGAGGGGCAGCTTTCCCTGTTTTAGAGCTTCTGTTAAAAGGGGAATTGGGCTTAGGTGTAGTTTTATCACATTTATTTTCCTCTTCTCCTTCACTAGAGTCAATAGTTTCTGTGCTCACCACACCTCTGAGTCTGATTATGAGACTTCTCAGTCCCCAACAGCCCCTTATTTTCTAATGATACACTGCATCAGCCTCCACCTCTCCTGGGGCTCTCAGCCACACCTCTGCTTGAGAACCAGTGAAGAGTGTCTTCACTTGGTCTTGCTCTGGCATTGCAGTGCTCAGTAATCCTTTCATCTTGTAATGTGCAGTGTTCTGAGACTGGCTGCCTGTGCGGTCTTGTTCAGCAGTTGCCACAGCACAGTTCAAAGCCTGGTGCCCTGGATCCTTTTTAAAGAGAAAAGGAGAAGATATATTGTGCTGAAATCGTTTTCATTGACTGAACAATGAGGGCCTTAGATCTGGGGTGGCGAAACCAGTGACTGGATCACGAAAGCACTGCTAAGCAGAGTGAGTCACAGCTGGGTCTGGACTGGTCAGGCAGGCTGTTTTCAGTCTGGTTGGGTTAAATCACTCTGATGCTGGCCGGTGCAGTTCGATTTTCGCTGCCGTTGGACACCACTGGTCAGTGTTGGTCATGCAGAGTCGAGTTCCAGTCAGGTCAGGATCAGTCTGTTGTGGTGGGGCAAGTCATGGAACGGGCAGGGCTGGACTGGAATGGACTGGTCATACTGAGGCAGGTCACAGTTGGACCCGGGCTCATCACTGAGGATGGTCACTGTTGGGTCAGGGCTGGTCTCGTTTTACACAGGCACTACAAACCTGCTGGCAAAATCATGTTCATAGTCTCAAGGATTCAGTCTGGTTAAAACGGGAAGTTTGTTTTTTTTTGTCATGTCCTATCTTTCTTGTTTCACTCAGTGCTGTACGTGTCTTACTCCTGAGGACTGCTTTTGCTGTGGAATCGATTCCTCGGTGCACGAAACTCATCGTTGTCTAGCAAAAAGAAAGGAGGGGGGATGTATTCCAGTGTCACATTTACCTGTGAGCCCTGTGCAGCTTCATGCCTTTAACATGCATTGTCGTCTTTCAGAGTTGAGGTTGTGCTTTTTTTTTTGTTAATTATCATAAGGAAAATAACTGACTTGTTATGTGTAGTTTTTACAGCATTTATCCACAATTATATTTAGGAGAAATACTCCACTTTTGAAGTCGCTTATTAGAGATGCTCTCATCTTATAAATATTCAATGCAAATTTTTAGGGCTGTGAAAGAGAATTTCCATAAAATATTTATGCAGAAGTGGCTCCATTTTCAAATAGAATAAAAACTTAGTTTGTGTCCTTCTTTGAGCTAAACGTCTTGCATCACTCCTCTGCTGAACAACCTTGTACAGAAAAGTACGGCCAGACCTAGAAAACAATATTCCAGAATATTGGGTCAGTTCTGTAACTCAGAGATTCCAGAATATAGGATCAAACTCAGAGCACGAAGAGTCCGTGTTCATATGAAGAGCGTCTGACTTTGTTTGATGGTGGCCATGTGCCCACAGCTCACTGCACCAAAGATACGTGTTTCAGCAGTGCTGACTCTTCAGTGCTGGGATTGGAACAGAGATAAACAGTTAAGGTGCAAATAATCTGACTAATTTATGATCAAAGATGACAGGGTAGCTTTAGCATATTTTTGGACCCATTCTCATAACTCTAAACTGCTGGAAATATTCTGAAACAGCGTATGAAATGCTCTTTTTCACACCTACGTGATCTCTTGCTGAATGTGTGTTCTCCAGACTTTTACAGTTACTCGGAGAAAAGGAGGAGCAAATGTGACTCCAGTGTGAAGTGTTGGAGCTCCCTCTCCTGTAATTCAGCTTTTGGGGGCGCTACGGAGACCAGGATCTGGGGAACCCTGTTCCTTTGCCGCAGTAGAGGCTCCAGGCTTGGGAGAACTGCTTCAATGGGCAGCAGGAATCCCCCTTGATTGCTAACAAGCTTAGGTGCTTTTTAATCTTTCACAAGATCTGCTCTTTGTCTTCCGCACTGTAGGATATTGTTAACTGACATGAGGAGAGCACTACCTCATTCCAAAACGACTCTAAACACGAACTTGAGTCAGCTTCAGTTTGTTGATGGATACAGAGCTCTGTATACATTGCTATTTTAAATTCCTAATTAAGATTTACTTCAAAGTACAAGAGCACATGTAATCCTTTTTATAGTGCAGTCTTTCTCTATGGATCATTAATATCCAGTATACATGCCAGCTGACCTGGGGAAGAATCTCCTAGAAGGCTAGACTGTACTGTTACTAGACGATGGCCATATTTCCCCTGTTTGCTTATTTCTGAAAACATTTTAAAATTTTGGAAGCTACAAGACCTGCTCTGTGTTCTCTGTTTATTCTACAGCCATGGTGTTTAAACTGTCAGTGGGCTGACTCTCCTGAAAGGGAGTCATTCTTGGTAATGAAGTCATATCTCAAATCACACCACAGTCATGAGGACCTCAGACATCGGTGTGGGTGTACCTGCAGGGGAGGGGGCACCCCAGCCAGAATGTAGCACGCAAATCAGGTGAACAGAAACAGAATCGGAGGGTAGATGTAGAGAAGAAGGCACTATAGAGTGACATTAAAACTGTCCAGTTCCTCCCTCGTTAAGGAATCTGTCGTCAGGGTTATTCTCCTTTGTCAAACTGT